AAACAAGTCAGACGGAGAGAATTTTAAAAAAAAAAAAAAAGACCCCCAAAACCCCAGTCAGTCCATATCAGTGGGTCCCACTAACATTTAGTTATGGTTACTGGAGACTCTTGATACTGTCAGAGCCTCACGCTAGAAGGCAGAAAGACGTCAGGCTGCTGGCAGGCCAAGAGCCCGCTAGCAAATCCTCTCTTCCACGCAACTTTTACACGTGAAGCAAAAGCCATACCTGTGTACCCATCCTTGCAGCAAGTGCCAGGGAGACTGTTTTCCTTATGGCCCCCTGCAAGCCTCTGGAAATGCCAGACTCACCCTGACTCCTGACTCCCAGCTGATCCAGAGGTCACCCCTGGTCAGGAAGCAGGCCACCGCGTGCCTGGCCAGATGGTGGATCCACCCTTCCTGTCTCAGTTGGGTCATGATTGCATCGATCCAAGGGAAGCCTGTCTTGCCCTCTGCCCACTTTGCCAAGGCTTCAGGGTTCTTGTCCCAGGGGATTTGGATGCAGATGGGGTTCCCCTCCATACGATCAAACTTTGGGTTGTTTGTGGCTGCTGTGGAGAAAAACGCTGCTGTGTAGAAAAACTCCCGCCACAGAAGCTGTCCATACAGAGAGAGCGGGGGCATGCTGCTCCGCTTTACCTGTGGAGGGGGAAACAAGGGTATTCACAAGCAGAGGAGGACTGGCGTCATTAAGCTGATCTGTAAGCCACCCATGCATTTATACACAATTCCCAAGTCAATTACTGACAACTGCCATAAAGGAGCTCAGTTCCAGATCATCCTTCACCAGAAACCCCAGGTAGTAAAGATAGTGCTGCTTTTAGCTCACTCAGTACACTGACAAGAGACTTGAACGACCCAAAACTAACAGCAAAAAGCTCTACGTGGCTCTACACAGGAGCCCAGGTTGAAGAACAGGGTACCGGCAGATTTAAGGTTTTCTTGACTATATACAGGAGAATCACTTTTCCTCACCCAAGAGCCTCTTCTGCAGTAGCAACAAGCTTAGCCCAAGAGTGAAACACAAGTGAGGCAACAGTAACTTTTGCAGCTGTTCTGGCACACTGTCTGGGAACCAGCATCATGCTACGCTCAAAACCAGCCTGCTCTCCAGATGAACCTTTTGTCTTACCTTCTTATACAGCTCCCAGAGACGATAGTAAAACAAGCGGCAGGACAAGCAGCCAAAACGCAGGTAGGGACTGAGTCCTGTAGGGCTGGCCAGCAACGAATTGGCGTTCATCCTTGGTCTTTCGTAATTTGCAACCCATGCCTAGACATATTAAAGAGAAATGAGCCAGAAAAACCCCAAATTTGTGGGACACTGCTAAGGGCAGGCATCTGTGCAGGTGGTGAGGCCACTTGGGTCTGACAGCAGAGTCTCTTCTATTCACCTCCAACCACTGCTGGGAGACATCTCAAGTGGGCAATCCCAACCTCCACATCCTATTCAAGAAATACAAAATCTTTGCTGCGGGATTTAAACCAGGTAGTCATTCTGGCCAAGAAAAGGACTAAATTTGCTTTGCATGCAGGAGCTAATAACCCTGAGAGCTCCTAGGGACACAAACTAACGCAATTGTTTATGTCCAGGTACGTCTATCTCATTTCACACACTAAACAAGAAAATTGGGGAAATTCAGACCTTTTTGTGGAGTACTATGTTGACAGTTTATTCCCTCTTCAGCACAAGAATTTATGCTTTGATCTCTACAACTGCCACCAAACCACCCAGCATTAAAAAGACACAAACTGGTTAAAATTGAGTCATGCCCCCGCAGCTGGGTCATCTTTCATTACTCTGAAATTGTTTGCCTTGTGCACTATAATCAAGAACTCGTGCCCCATAGAAAAAAATTGAGCATTTCAGCAAGGGGCTCAAGGAATGCCAGCCAGTGAGACAACATATTAACAGGCTGATGTACAAGGGGAAGGCATTCTTTTATGAGCATGTACTCGCACCAATACCTTAGCTAAAGACAAAATGAGATGGTGTGCATTGTGCAGGAGGGACTGAGCAACTTACATGGAAGTTTCCAAGTTTGCACTCCTCTAAAGGAAACTGAGGGGTAGAAACAAGGGAAAGAATCGTATGTGCTTCAAACACCAGCATAATTTGTATACAGCTCTACTTCTTTGGGTCTGAGGAAGCCCAGGAGCTCTCTGCTCCACACACAACCCAAGGTCACAGGAGTACTCCAACACCACCAAACACCCCTTCCAGAGGTGAATGCTGCAACCGTTGCTAGGAAGAGCAAGAAAATAGAGCAATGGCCAACGCTCAACTTTTTTCGTTTGGAAGCACAGCCTGCAGGAATCGCCACTTAAATAACAGGGGTTACCTTTCTTTCCAAGTGTTTATCCAGCCGCGCCAAGGCTTCTGTCTCCCCTCCTTGCCAAACTGCAGGGGCAAGACCATCCGTAGGAAAGCCTGAGGGAAAGAACTTTGTAAGATTTGAAGCCACACCTAGACAAAGGGTATAGATGGGATTAAGCATTAGTAACAGCAAGACACTAAATACTGTAGTTACCTAACATGGCTTACTTGCTGCTGTAGTCCTTCTACAGCAGGCAAATCATGTGGAACGTGGGGAGAGCCTGCTCATGACACTGCACTACAAGGACCTCTCCTTGCAATGCTTCAGGCAGCCTTCTGGGGACTCTTCCCACCGCCAGCACTCTCTCTTACGTGTCAGCACTACCCACAGGGCTCTGCTCCAAAGGCCAGAGCAGCTGGCAAAGGAACATCTGCTCCACAGCTCTGCCTTACAAAGTACCTTGCCATGGACACCAGCAGCTCACTAGAGAGCCTGGCTGCTCCTGGTGAGGCTCCTATTCTGCTGAAAGCGGGTGCTGGGGAAGGCACTGGATTAGTGCTGAAGAACTGATGCAAAAGGGGAAGTAACAATGCAGTTGCCGTGCACTGCTCTGGGCTGACAGGGGAGCCTCCCCTGGCAGCAAGCAGAGCCGTGTAAGGTTGCAGGCTGTCTTGCATTAGGCCAGGCAATAAAGGAAGCAGATCTACCCAGGACTGCAACCCTTACGATACTCCTGTTGTGAAGCCCTCCGCTTTTACATGACTGCTGAAACTGTGCCTTAAGGTACAAGTTGATACTCCTGTAAAGTTAGTATGGAGCCTCCAGTCACACACACGCAGACAGTATTCTGCATTAATCCGTTCTTCCCTTGCATTTAGACTCACTTCCCTGATGTAGGCCTTGCATTCCTCATGCCTCAGCTCTCTATTATTCCTCCTTCTCCAAGAAAAATACAGGACCATAAGACATAGCAGGATGAGTGAAAGAAGTTTCCGTAGTATCTTTTGTCTTGCTAAGCTCCCAAATTGGTGCTGCTGGGCAATAAATGAATGAAATTATCTAAGCCTGGTACACAGTTAGTTTACCTCTTCAGGTCTGTTACACAACGTGTCAGAGATGGCAGTAGGAGGAAAGCAGCTGGCGAGGACATGAGACACTGATACAGTGGTTACATGCTCAGTATAACAGAGGAGAGATGGACAGACACAGAGCATTTCAGAGCAATGCTAAAGGGGACGCTGTGCATCGACAGTAGTGCAAGGGACAGCAGTCTATTTTCATGAGGTCCAGCACTCGCTGAAAACATTAGGCTGCTTCTATGGCTAGAGGCAGCTCAGGTCAGATGAGAACACTGGAGCTGTCCTGGGCACATGCCAGCCATCATAAACAGTTTCACTAGATCCCCTTTCAGCTGGCAGTTAACCCTTGCCTTCATTCTCGACACATACCCAGCTCTTCCAGGGACGGGACCCCATACACGTCGTCATGGTTCTCCTGGATGTCCACTTTACATGTCTCCATCTGCTGGCTCATTACAGTGCTCACTGGCTTCTTTGGGAGCTCCATACGGCTAATGATGGCCTGGAAGCGCTTGTAGGTGAGGGGTGGCTTGTGGCCATTCAGCTCAATTATTCTGGAGACAAAATAAGCAAGGTGAAACAACACAGCCTCGCTACCACAAAAGACACAACACAATGACAGCCAAACTGCATCCCACTATCACTGCTCAGGATAGCCTTTCACTTTGGATACAGAAATCCTCATAGACCTACCTTCCACTTGATGCATCCCTCAAAGGGGTATTAAAAACAAACAAACAAAACCCCAAAACACACCAGAAAACAAAACCCCACATACTAATTCATCTCCATGGGAAAAAAACCAAAACAGCTCCAGCTGAATCAGGCTTAGCGTCACATCTCTCTCCCAGAGCTCCTCATCAGACCCCTGTATGAAATCTCAATCTGATTACTGCCTTTCTGCCTCCCCAAGATGGCAAATCCCAGACCTGCATCTCTTCCCCTGATGCCTTGTGATATCCTAACCCGATTCTGACCTTACTTTCACCCCATCTGACAGAAGAAGTCCCAGCCTGTTAGTGACCCCTCCTCCACCTATCTCAGATGAGACAAATTCCAGTTTTTGTCATTCCTCTCTCCCCGTGATCAGAGAAATCGCCATCCTCCCCCACGCCATAAGGTCACGAGTAGACCTATCTCGTGCTATTCACCTGTGTCAGATCATGCTACGGAAAAGACAGCCACGGTTCCCCATTCCTCTACTTCACTAAGCATCCACAGCCTGCTAGGGCTATGCAGTCTTATTTTTCCTGGGACAGAGAGCTTTGAGAAGCCCCCTGGGCTTCTGGGCCAGGTAAGCTTCCCCAGGGTGAAAGATGCCATTTTAACCCCCTCTCCCGCACGGAGAGGAAGGAGTTAACAGCAAAGCAGACAGCACAGGGATCGCCAGCATTACATAAAGTTGAGGCAGCCAACCCCACAGCTCACACAGGAGCTGCAGCAGAGCAGCCTCCCCCACCCATTACAGTCAACAGCTTATGCAAGGGGCTGGGCTTAAAGCAGAGTGTTTCGGCAGACGCCATGTGCCTTCTCCTCCCCCGAAGCCGCACGTGTAGCGAGGAGGAGCGACATGCCGGCCCAGGGCCTTCCCCAGCCCTGAGCCCTTCCTCACGTGTGCTCCGCAGTGACCCAGCTTCCCCGCGCTGCTGCGCGGCGGCAACGGGGGAAGCCGTCCCCGCGCCGCGCCTCCCGCTGCGGCCGCCTCCATCTAGGCCAGGCGCCGAGCAGGAGCCCAGGCCTCCTCCGCACTGCCAGCCGAGGGAAGGGGAGCCTTTAAAACAGGCAGCACAGTTGCAAAGGTTAAAAATGAAGCCTCCCGCAGTTCCTTCCCGTTTTTCTGCTTGTAAACATTGGGAGAAAAAGACACTAATGAACAGGACAGGGGAGGAAGGGCAATCAGGATGTGCACAGAGCGCAAACCACTAAACTTTTAGTGTGAGGCTATAAACATGATCACAGCGCGGGCACAGCACACTCGGCCACCCCTCCAAGAAAGTGTATTGAGGGGAGCCTTACAGGCAACATATTCTGTCCTGTACCTTCATACCAGAAAACATCTCCTCTGCTTTCATGCAAGCACTTTTCAACCAGCTGTCTCTGTGTACCACCCCAGGGACAGTAAGAGATCACGAACTCTCATGAATACTACCCACCACAATCTTCTCTGCGACTTGCTCTGAGCACTGGGGCCCCCCAAACAAGCCCATCAGTTCACAGAGATCCCCAGAAAATCATCATTGCCGCTGGAAGAGAAGCGAGGCATTTCCAGTTACAGCACTCTAGAGTCTCGCTTGTTTCCAGAGTAGTTCAGTGCTTGGAAGCAAAAATGTGACAAAGCTGCACGGTGTTTGCCCTGAGGTGCTTGGGATGGGGGCGGGGAAGCCAGTTCTTTAACACTGCCTCTTGTTTCAGTCCTCTTCCACAGATCTGCTGAGGCTGCAGCTCAGCCTGAGATCCACGCTATTATACCACATCCCAGATCCACAGCTAAAACTTTTGTGAACAGACAGCTACTTGAAGCAAATCGCTGTGACTTGCAGGTGGATGCTAGTGTCTGTGTTTGACATCCTCAAGAACGTGAATATGAGTGAAGTTACCTAGTACAGCTCCTAAATTCCTAAACAGACAGTTATTGGATCTGGGACACAAATCTTTAAGAGATAGGACTAGGACAATTTGCACATTTCACAGCACCTGACACTGGCATTATGCAACAAAAGTTGATCCTTTCACAATACTGCCATAAAAAGAAGTATCAAATATTGGGTATTGTACAATATTGGATATTATACGATACATACCGGATATTGTAGTGCTGTTCAGCCTTCTGTACAAAGATTTGTACAGGAAGCCCCCCAAGCAGGAGTCCTTTCCTTCCTCCTACTATCCTAACCCAGGCAGCACAATCTCACAGGACTTTCCCCGATGACAGAAAAAGGGAGGACCCTCCCCAGGATTTAATGCTCCCATATCATCCGTCTCCCCCAGCGCAACTCTCGGACTACAAGTGGCAGTTACTCTTCCAGTTTTCTTGAAGCAGAAGAGAGAAGAGCAGAATCACTGTATTCATCATACAAAACCTAACGTTTCTGGTGTTAGTGAGCACACATAAAAATGGCTCTGCTACCAGACTAACAATACACTGCCCAGCGCTACCTGAGAGTAGTACCTTGATGCCGGAAGCTACGAGGGTCTTTTTGACTGTCAGTCACACAGTCACACTTTACCTCAAGAAAGCAGGCAACCAAAACCTGACCAAACATAGTTCTGGTGCTGCTAGGATTATAAGGTATCCTACAGTCAGTCACCTGTGACAGCAGAGTGTGCAGACTTCGAATGCACATCCCCACAGGTGTCAGCTTCTGACTCACATCTCCACAGCAGTGCCCCAGCAGGATGGCTACCGAGCTAGTGAAAGCTCCTCGCCTCAAAAACCTGACACCTCAGCTCGCTTGCAAATGATAGGGCCCGTTTCTGGCAAGGGATCAAATGTGCTCCTCCCTGCTTCCTTGCACAAGGAAGAGCTGTCTGCTAGCACTCGGCAAGCAGGCTGCTCAACAACGCACCCCACTACCAATTCACACAGACTATTTAGTAAGCCTCGCCAGCTTATGCAACTGCTCTGATCTAAATCCTCGCTCCAGAGAGCTCGTGTAGGGCTACGCATACATGAGACAGGGGGTATTTCTACAGATTCAAAGAGGAGATGGAGAGATAACCAACAGATATTCCACACAACAGACGCTGGACAAAGTACGAACAATTCAACTTCTGCAGAATCATACACACAAGCATATGAAAGATGAAGAAGTGACTTGATGACAGGCTAAGTATCAGCGCAGGGGGAAAACACCTGGCACCAGAGCACCATGCAAGACAGACAAGGATAACAGGATCTGGCAGGCAGAAGTTTGACTTAACCTTCTTAGATGGAAATAAACCACTTTTTTGGCACAGCGTAATTATGAATTGCAGAACCACTAAGGTATGCGCGCCTCCCCAGTGCTTGGTTCCTTTAAGTTAGTATGTGCTCCTATTAAAGCACATTTAACTATCATTTCAGCCTTAGGCTAGAGTATTTGAGGAAAAGCTGCCCCTGATGCATGCTACAAACATACAAGCTCACAATGTTCTTTTCTGACCTAAACCAACCCCCCTGAATAATCCAAGCCTGCCTGGGATTACAGAAACCACAATGCTGACAGTCAGCAAGCAGACTACAAAGGATTTAGATCCTAAGGAGGAGAGAACAGGCAGATCCAGAGAAGCACAAAACAACCTGTCACCTGGAAGTTGTCAGACAGAATAATTGTCAAGTAAAGGCTTTGAGCAGGCTAAGATGATACCCTAGATATTATCTTTTCTGTCTGACTTTACAATCTGAACATTGCTAATCTTGACTGGGAATTCCTAGATTTTCTTAGGAGTATTTTCCAGCACTGATGCTGATTTTCTACAGCCCCCTCCTTGTTTTGGGAGAGAGGAGGGGAAAGATGCTCTGATAATCACAGAGCTATGCTGGCAGTGCCAACAAGGAGCATACTGTAATCTTCCTACTGAGTAGAACTGGTCAAATTCACAAGTTAACTGAACAGGCTCTTTGTAAATGTTTAAAAGGAGCTGCTGGTGGTGGTACTGGGAATACGCTGCAGGGGACAAGAGAAGGACTGCTGAAATCATTTATGTAGAAGGAAAGATTAGTCTAAATTGTTCAAAACCAGGCCTGACAATCTTGTCGGAAACTTGATTAAAGAAAGATGAGAAGTAGGACACTACCACCAGGTTACTAATTATGCAGGAAAAACAGTAGGCTGAGCAGAGGGACAACACATACCATGAGTCAAAAGACCGGGTAACACGACTGGAGGGCGATATACTCAGAGAGGCTTCCAGGAGAAATACAGTATTAGAACTGTATTACCACCTGCTGAGAAACTGACTCAGAGATGCCAAGAACCAGGAAATGTCAGAGTAACTGGAGACTTCAACTGCCTCCACGCAGACTGGGTAGCTGTGACACCCCACCACCTGCCAAAAATCAATTTTCTAGTTGCCATAAATGACTGCTCCATGGAACAGTTGATCAGGAACCCACAAGGAAAGGCAATTCATGATTTGGTCTTAGGCAGCGCTAAGGTATAGCTGAAAATGTTAGTTATCACTTGCCTGCTCTAACTGTGACTTTGGCATGCATCAATTTAACATCCTTCCAGGAGCAACAATACCACAATGGTTTTTATTTCAAGAAGAGAAACGCATAAAAATAAGGAAGCGTGCTAAGCAAAAAGAACAAGCTGAGACATAAAACACTGACAGGCAACACAGAGGTGATTTGAAGATGACGTTGGGGAAAAAAGAAATTCAACAAATGAACACAAACCATCAAAAAAAGATTTCAGAAAGATCACAAAAGTCAAAACAATTAAAGAATAGCATCAAAGATAATAGAAGGCAAAATCCTTCAGAAAAATGAAGGCAAAATAAAGACAGAAAAAACCCAAATTGGTAGGTGAAATTAAAAGCCACAAAAGCAGCCTCCTTGCACCTCCCAACCCAAATGAAAGTTTGAGAAACCTTTTTAAAAAAAAGCATAGATAGTAAAAAAAAAAAAAAAAAAAAAAAAAAAATCCCTTTACAGACACTCCAGGATATTTATAGGGCCAAGAGGCGATCAAGTCATAAAAAAAAGCAGAGACTGTAACACCACAGCAAAAAATCATGCATTTAGTTTTGCACGTGTGTTCACTATGGAGGTATTTGGGGAGGGCTGCCCCTCGAATCTCTTTAAGGAAATGTATCAGGAGATGTCACAGACTGGGAGGTCAGGAAGAAATGCCACAACAAAGCTATGCTTGAACAGCACCAGCTTGCCAGGACCATTTACCCTGGAGATGTAAAGGACATCAAGAAATACCCAAACTAATAGCTGCTGCATGTAATGCTTGCCTTAAAACTGCCCTAATAAGGGCCAAGAGGCGATCAAGTCATAAAAAAAAGCAGAGACTGTAACACCACAGCAAAAAATCATGCATTTAGTTTTGCACGTGTGTTCACTATGGAGGTATTTGGGGAGGCTGCCCCTCTGAATCTCTTTAAGGAAATGTATCAGGAGATGTCACAGACTGGGAGGTCAGGAAGAAATGCCACAAAACAAAGCTATGCTTGAACAGCACCAGCTTGCCAGGACCATTTACCCTGGAGTTGTAAAGGACATCAAGAAATACCCAAACTAATAGCTGCTGCATGTAATGCTTGCCTTAAAACTGCCCTAATACTATGAGGAAAAAAAAGGCAAATATGACTCCAGATTTAAAAAGCATTTCAAAGGCATCAAAGGGATGACAGAATAGAAAGCCTGATATGTGCATTAGGCAGACGGGTAGAAAATACTAATGGAATCAGTGAATGCATGAGTATATGCAATATGCTTGGAGGGTTAATTTGGCCTCGGTAAAGGGAAGTTGTGCCTCAAAATCTATTAGTGACATTTGAGCCTGGGGCAAGGGAGATGCAGTTGATATACTATACCTGGATTTTCAGAAGCCATCTGACTAGATCCCTTACTGAAATTTTTTAAAGAAACCAAGATAAATTGGGATAAAGGAAAAGATCCCTGCAGACAGAAAATTCTTTGAGATACAGGACAGAGTAGGAATCCATTTTTTCAACAGGAGGAGAAATCCTACACAGAGCTGAGCTAGGGCTTGTGCTGCTCAACATTATTCATAAATTATCTGGGAAGGGACAAAAAAAGAGCATGATGATAAAGTTTATGACGCAAGAAGCTATCTGGGATAGCTAAAAATGAAAGGCAACTTATAAATTTCCCTATACACCACATGACCAGCTGACAAAAATATCAGATGAAATGCAGTGTTGGTCATGTTGTTTCTCCATATGCATGGCTATGCAATCTTAAACTTACTTTTATAGTAGCAGCCTCTCAAATAGCTATGATCATTCTGGAAGAAAGCCCCGAGACATCAGTTTAGTGCTTAGCAGCACTCAGAAAAAGCAAAAAGAATGCTAGCGACTATTAGAAGACAGGAAACATTATAGCACTATACAAATCCAAGTCGCTCCCGCATTTTGAACACTAGCTACAGTTTTCACCACTGCTCTCCATCTCTAGGAATAGCCAGAAGTATAAAGAAAGGTGACAAACTTAGAAGAGATATGGAACAGATTCCACCTGAAAACTTAAGTAAACTAGGACTCTCCACCTTGGAAAAGACAAAGATGACATGAGGAAGGACGTGAAGGACATTGACATTGAAGGGGTGAGGATGTATTCATATAAGTATTCATGGTCTCTTCTAATGCAAAAATTAGAAAGCAGTGTCTGCTCACGAGACAGGTTCAAGAAGAATCCTCCTCACTCCAAAGACAAACATTCCCACACTGCAAAGCTCCTTCCCATAGGAAATTATGGATGCTAAAGATTTATAGGAGGAAATCTACACTCAGCATTACTGGCACAAGTCATCCGAAAAAAAAAAAGGGCGAAAAAAAAGCAAGCAACCTATAAGAATAGTACTGAAACATGGTTGAAGTCAAGCATACCTTTGAGTCTTAGCTGAAAGACTGTCTCCACTATTTAAGGAGATCTCATATATATGGAGATTATATATATAAGTAAATATATAAAACTCAACATAAAGGAAAGGCTCCCCCATAGCAAATACACAACAAAGACAAGGCATTCAGGTTTTAGAATAAGGCAAGTTTGCCCCAATCTACCTTGTTTTACTTCTTCCAGCTGTCCTAGCACATCCATCAGTTAAAAGCCCTGCTTTCATAACCCGTTTGAGACAACAACTCAACTATCTTTATTACAATGAAGCAAAAAAAGCAGTCCATGCAGTGAGGACATGCTCAAGGAGAGCAATCAATAGGACACAGCTGAGCAACTTAAATGACTGTCAAGTACAATTTAATAAGCTTGAGGCAACACCTTTCTGTACATTCATGCCATTGTCAGCACTTTGACGTGTTCTAATCAAAAGTGCGAGTGCGCAGAGTAATCCTGTTGACACCTTCTAGACTCACACAGGATGACAGCGATGAACGTATAGCGATCAACGTAATGGAGGAGACTGAAGTCTTTCCAGACACGATAATCCCAGCCTAGCCCAGGCAGCACCTCTGCCCTTGCTCTCCCCGTACCTGTCCAGGTCATAGAGGGTGTGGGAGTTCTCTATCACCACCTCCACGCCAGCCTCCTTGGCCAGTTTGATGATAGCTGCATCCCTCTCCTTACCAAACGGCTCTGAGTCGTATTCGAAGGTGAGACGAGTGACTCCCCATTCCTGCAAGAAACACAATACACACAACTGTCAAACAGAAGACTCTTTCTAACCAGTGCAATTACGAACAAGGATGTCAGAATCCCTGGCCAGTGTTAAGTCCTGGAAGCTTAGACAAGGTTCCTGTGAGGAACAGCAGTCTGGAGTCAAGATAACCAAAGAATCAACAATTTTATCAGCTCTAGCAAACATCGCATCTGCTATGCAAATTCCTATATGTTAGGTTTAAAACACGTAAGAGGAGGTTTGAGTTCTTCACTGCTAATGTTCTTAGGTTACAGCTCAGTCCCCAAACCTAACACCACCTTGTTTGGCTACACATGCTGTCCAAAAGTAACCCTACCATCCCGTTCCAGCATTTGCAGAGAAAGCATTTCAGAGAACTCTTTCAATACAAGTTCTGGTCAAAACCCCGTATTTTTATGTGGAGACTATCATTAAGTAAAACCAATACACTCTAAGTTTTTTCCAATGTCTTCTTTAAAGCCATCACATAATAGAGGCCCAATGTCCAACCCAAACAGCAAAAAACAAGTTAGTGGGAAACGCAGGACAAAGGATGGCAACTGAGTGAACCTTTCTGGTCAGCACAATAAGAGTATGATACTGCAATTCAGATTTAAATTAAAGTCCTGCCTTTGGAGAGTTATTTCATGCTAGTTGTGCCATGCACCTATTCTGTATCTTCACACAGATTACATGGAATAGGCCTTATGAAATAGCATTCAGCCTCTTCCAGGCTTTTCCAGAGCACAGTTTGCTCTCAAAGACTATGTCCTAGTTTTCCTCAGAAAATGAATCCTATGAGAAGAGGTTTAATGGTTTCCACAGCGACCCTCCTGAGACATCCATCAAGCAGAGCAGCAGCCCACAGATTTGTTTAGCAAACACTTTAGTCAAACACAGCCAGAAATCTATAGAGACACTTAAAAAACCCCTCACACAACTAAGGTGTGAACCAAATTCTCCAAGTGGAACAGTTTAAGTCACCTCTGTATATACAGGACAGTCTTTTCTACCTCGGAACCAGAAACAAAGCACAAAGAACAGATGTGATTAGTTCACTAAAGACCGTTAAAAAATAACACCAAAGATGAGGAAGGGAATTTAGAAGCAGAAAACAACTGTACAAGCCCCCTTCTTTTCTAAACTTTCAGATTAAATCCTAAAATTAATATTAGGAAAGACAGACAACTAAAACAGTTATGTACCACTGAATGTACATCTCAAGAGAGGTCCTCCAGTCCTTTTTCAAAATAAGAACATGACAATATGGGGGCAAACAGACGTGTTCCAGACCCTGCCCTGCTCCTATGTGATTTAACAGCTTCATTTTAACCTTTCTTTTCTTTTATAAGAAAGACAGTATCAGCTGGAAGGCTTGGAAAAGATGGCTTTGGTCTTGAATAAACATACATTACTGCCTTGAAAGAAAGGAATGGAATAAAAAAACATTTAAGGCTAACAGATATTTTAGGTAAGAATACAAAACTTCAAATTCAGATATTTCCTACAGTTTTGAGAAGCCCACCACTCTATGTGCTACAGTAGCACACAGGAAGCAGAGCACAACCAACCAGAAAACAGTAAACTGTATGACAATAAATTGCTGCAGATATACAAAAGAAAAGTCATGACTGACTTAGTATCTAGCCTATAGCAAAGAAAAACTGTAGGGAAAAAAAACACACACCAAAGGGATTGTGAGCAAACTTCAGTGAACAAATGACACACTTTTCTTTGACAGAAGAGGTAAAATTACAGATGTTTGTTCAGAGGAAGTGAGACAAAAAACCTCTGCAAAGGTTAACACAGAGCTAACAAGTATACTTCTCACGATATCCATGCATAATAGTGCCTTTGCAGCAACTGTTATCAACAACATATCTCAGCTGCTGGCAGCAAGAGCAGAAATTATATTAGGTCCAAGTGTTGCATTACCACATGTGACGTAACTGTCCTCTGCACAACAGCTGACAGCAAGGCATGAGCTGCTGCTAATTCACTGTTCAGTGCAGCAGCTCTGGAGAGGCCTGAATTCCCATGAAAGCCATACGTTTACCATGTAATAGCACAAAAAAAACCCCACATTCTTTTCGGCTCTGTTACAGCACATCTAAGATATTCATCAACTCACCTGCCCAGGCAAAACAGACTGCAGCAAAAAGTAGGTCTGGCTGATTCCACAACCACCTCTCAAACCTCAGACTCTGCCAACTACTTTTTGTTCTTTGACCAAAGCGGACATTTTTCTCCAACAAAGTTTTAATTATCCTGTGAATACCTTGAACTAAAATAAGGAGGGCATGGACTACTACTAGCCAGAACTTATTTGCAGATCAAAAGACAAAAATAACCCAGACTCTGAAAAGGCTAAAAGCAGCACATAGTTTGTGTCATGTGTTAAGATGCGGAGGCCAAAATAAGTATCAGTGCCCCTTCTGACCTGCATAGTCCGATTCCCCTCCCCAGTACTGCCCTCCTCCAGAAAATACACATCAGAACCATTTGCAGCAGGAGGGTATAGATTCACGTTTACCTCCTTCTCAGCAGCTGGTCTATAACAGGCTTTGGGGACGCTAGTTCTGTCAACCGTATGTAAGGTACAGTCCACATGACAAACCCAACTCATAAGACTATCGTGAACCATGTTTCTTTCCTTTAGCTTTGTCACTCTAGCAAAGACACCATCAAAAAGCTTCAAAGACAACGGGAAATATAATCTTAGAGCAGGACAGAGAAGAATGATACTGCTTGAGGAACCTTGATATTCAAGTAGATGCTCTTGCCGGCCCTGTCTCTCTCACAGTCTGCAGCACTGACATATCACTTTAGAAACGTATCCCACTAATCCATCATCGACCACTGAGGTCACTGCATATTCCACCATCCTAAATGGTACATTAGCAGGAAGCTTGGACCCAAGTTGTATTCTGCTGCTGAGCTAAATGAACTGCAGCCTTGAACAGAAGAAGAAAAGGAAGGTCAGCTAACATAAAACCTTCTAAATTTTGAAATTTTAACACAAAGTCCTATTTGCAATTCACATACAGATCAATATGCTTTTTCAGTTGTCTGTAAAGGTGTATGGACATAGCAGTCTTCCTGAGTAAAAGCTGCAGGAAGAAAATGGCCAGTAGGGAAGAAGCTCTCAACACAGAGGAGTCAGCGTGTTACAGTGCAACCCTGGGAGGCTTGACTTATAGAAACAAAGGCAAAGACCACCACCCAAAAAGAGAAGCTCAAGCACCCTGGTACTAGGTTACAACCTACTACTAAATTTCTTCGCAAGTCTGAGTTCAAGAGTGTATCTGGCTCCCAAGCTGGCCCTTATGGACAGTAGTTAAAGTTAGTTGTAGTTAAAGAGAAGTTTGTTATAGTGAAGAATTAGTTATAGTTAAAGAGAAGCCAAGGAGATCTCCAACAACTAGCAAATCATTAGTGAGTGAAAACAAGGATAGCACCGGGACATCAGTTTTTCTTCACTATGCTCCAGAAAATTACTTTATTGTCTTACTTTAAAGAGTCTTGGGAAGACATCTGTTGGCTGCCCTCGCACAACAAACAAGCGAGAGTTGAGTTTCCTTAAACTGTTGTCCAGATCTTCCAGAGATTGGAGCAGAAATCTGCAGAGAAGAAACAAGAGCAGTTACTGTCAGTCAGTCCGGTTACAGCTAAAAGACAAACAAGGAGAATTTGCATGGAATTCCAGCAAGCCTGCATCACCAAATCAAACTGAAAGTTAGGACAAGAAACAGAAAACAAGAATTCGTATTCATCCCTGGTCTGTCTACCAACTGCTATGAGATTGCAGCACCAGCCAGCTCCCAGCCATTCATATGCATGTTCTGCTTGTCCAGATGCAAGAGGTTTCCAGGATTTTCTTCTTCCTGCAACCCCCTTCCCATGTTCTCTCTCAGAGCTGGCAGCACCCCCTGCCAGCTGCTCTCTCCACATTACGACATGGAGAAAAGCATAAACCATACAATTCACTACAGTATATTCTTTCATGGGTTCTGGGGCAGGAGGGATTTTGCATACGAAGTAGAAAGATGTTGATACACTACTCCAAGGAAGGTAATGAATTACAACAAGAACCGTGCAAGTTTTACAGTTCTGGCTACAAATAGGCAATGTCACAGCAGAGAAATAGCTCATCAGTAGCAATAGACTGAGCACCAAGATCTCCCAAGGCAAGAACTATCTGTACTTAGAATACCTGCAAACAGAACTGCAATTTATCTTCTACCATGAAGATGCAAAGATGAGAGCATGCCAAGACATTAATGTATTCCTTCCCACCCCAAAACTGTAAAAAAGCATTTAAGTGCTTTTTGCATTTAATCGCATGTCTTACTGATCCCCCACTATGCTATAAAACATCAAACGTATCATCTTTGCTTTCACAGCCACACGTCACCCCATCTACGTCATAACTTCACTTCGTTTTGTCTAACTCTGTAAAAGACACCAGCTTTAAAACTTTAATCTCTGTGACAGCACATGGCACTGCTGGCAAACTTGCAACCCTTTGTAAGTGAGCCTGCCAACCTCTACCTCTCCCTCGTTCCTACATGCCCACTCTGCAGCGTGACCTGCAAGACATGAGTATCTGCATCAGCTCCCTTAAGACCACACACAGCTAATAGGAAAACTAAGCTACAATCGCCCTGCAAACTGGGTGCTTCCTCTCTCCTCAACTGCACTGCCCATAACGTGAACCGCAAGCTTTGAGATAGAACAAGCTCCCTCTGCACTTCCTGAGGGAGAAAGGGACTCGGGGTTCATGGAAAGAAGGGCCCAGTATCACAGTACAAGAAGACCCAGAACCAGGTCTGGGTAATCTAAACAAACCACTCCCCTACCCCCAGCCCACTTTCCATCTATTAAATAGGAATATCAGCGTTCCAATGTGATCTAAAAATTAAACAAGGGTTAGTCCTATATGGCTCACACACGCTGTGCAGTTAAATAATAAGGGATTTTCATCATGATAAATTTCTGGGAGCTAGATAAAACACAAACACTTGCTTTTGGAGCACAGAACTCTGAATACAAGTAATTACACTAAAAAAAATAGCAAAACAAAGCCAAGGTTCCCAATGGGAACCAATGGAACTCCGGTAAATATAAGTAACTGGCTAATACATTTTTGCCTAACAGCCAGTGGTGCTAATTTCTGACATCTGCAGTAGGTACACACCTCCAAGAAAACATTATTTTTAAAAACTTCACCTGCTCATATATTCCATGACTACAACATAAATAAAACCACTACCTGCTTCCCTCCCTCCACAATATTGGTTGAAACAAACAAGGATTGAATGGATCAGGAACTAGTCTTGTGGGGGCACTGCTTTGGTTCTTCCAAATGAGGACAGTTAGCAACAACAGCAGCATGTGAAAGGCATTTCTGTCTGCTGCTGCCTGTAGAAAGTCTGGTCTATTGAAACATCTTTTCAGGCTCCTAGGATACTAAGCAGTAACAGAATCCACAATTTTCTGTAATTTGCACATCTACATTGTGGTCATTTCTGCACATTTACGATGTTTAAGCCATCCTCTGATGTGGGTTCTAGAAATGCTTAGAAATCACCCACACTATCCCATTCCTCTAAGATGAAGGTGTACAACAGAGGCAATCAGTTACAACTACAGTCTCCCTAACCTTACACACACAGCCACGTGACATTTCAAAGAGTACTTTAAAGGATTTTTAGTCAGGTGGCTGTCCTGTCCAGAACCCCCTTGATGGGGTAGTGCGAGGGCAGGGGGAGATCTGCTTCGCTTGTATGCAGGGGAGACTTGTAGAGAAGAATCCCTACCTGGATTGGGTTTCCAAATGTTTAGGCAGCTGAGACCTGACAGAATAGTGTTATGTAATGTTACTGACTACCAGTACATAAGGTCTCGCTCTCTGCACAGACACGACTCACCGCATACATTTTCCCATTTGTAGGGAGGAGAAGAGCGCAAACAGCTTCATCTCTACCTTCCTAGCAGCAGCCAAAGTGTATTTCCGTAAAAATCTGGGGGATGGGAAGAAGGCCCACGTGCGCACAGGCCTACACTCACTCAGCAGCTGAAGGGCAGAGGGAAGGCGCGGTGTGGTCACACAGCTCTGAGGGCTCTTTGCGCGTCTCTGAATTCAGGAAAAAGTGTTCCTGAAGCGAAACATCCCTCAGTCGTACGTTCAGCCAGCTTGTAAGGAGAAAGTCTAATGACATCACATAAAGTTCAAGGCGCTCTCCCACACAGTCAGGCAACACCGCTGTGAAAACCGTGGAGAGGCCAACCGGGGAAGGCAACCTCTCTGCTGCACGGAGAGGACCGGGGGGAGCAATACGCGGGCCAGGCCGGACGAGGCAGCGTGTGCTGCTCCCGCTGCTGCGGCGGCGGGCCGCCCCAC